TTTCCACTCCAATATCCCTTGTACCGGAAAGGGTGGTTGCTCACTTCAACATTTGGCGCCGCGGATTCAACTCTAAATGCAAGAATGGGATGTGCCAAATTTGAACCCACGCACCATGAACTGAAGAAGAACCTACAGCCACGACACGTATTTGGTCAAGGCGGTCAGAATGGGGATTCCCTGCAGGGAGTCAGGCAAGCATCGGCAGCAGGCTGGAGTGGTCCTTTTCTCCGTCTGCTCAAAGACCCAGTCGAAATACTCCATGCCTGCATTGTGTGCAAAGCTTTGTCTAGCCACGTACGACGAAGGGGCCGCGTCAAATCTGGGGACTGTTACCTCTTAACAAACGGCTTCCAAGACACCCAATGTGAAAACGACCTCATTGATGCTGATTCTTAGATTGCGGAGTTGCAGGCTAAAGTAAGGATGCTCTACATGTAAACAACATGCTCGCCTCGCAAACTGTTCAACAGTTGGGGGCACAAACAAGGCGCCAAACAGCACCATAGGACCCAACCGGCCTTCAGTGTACTTCCGCTTGGACTCGTCATCGAGAGTCAAGCCGAAAATCATGCGGCCATTCTTCTCGTTGGCAAAATTGATCTCCAAGTTGTCCTGGCATAGTAGCCGGGCAGGACATACTTGGGAACATGCGCCTTTCAATCCAAGGGATCTATCAGCTGGCAGGGATCAATCTCTACCTACGTGTCACAGGGCCGGTGCATCGTGCGCAGGCTGCTGAATCTCAACACTAGGAATCGGACAACTCATCCCAACTGCTTGTCCCCAACATGTTCAAGGCTTCAATATTTCCAATACAGCAAGTACAACAACAGCCCTGCCCATGCAAATCCACGCAGCTTCTGAATGGAATGGGGCCACTATGCAATCACTGCGTCTGCACGTGTCTGCCACCGCTCCTTGTCATACTCTTCAAGCAGCTTCCTGATGGGGGTGTAGCCGGGGTGCATGTAGCATGTGCCCATTTCTTGTGGAACCGCTGGTTGGAGAGGATCATATATCGTCAGTGACTTCCCACCCAGCTCCTGCGAGGCATGGCTGAGTTAACGCGTTTGGTTTGCTGACTGCTCCGAACCCTAAAACTCCCAAGCCCTAAACCCTAAACCCCAAACCCTAAAACTCCCAACCCAAAGTGCTGCGAACCTACAAATACCCAACGTCAAGGCATGGGATCTGTGAGTGAAGGCCTGCAGGAAAACCTCGCATGATCGAGCTTCAAACAGGGTCATTATTTTGACGGTTTCTGGTGGTGGTTACTTCCCTTTCACTCACCACTTAGGGGGTGACTTTGATCATGGTAAAATCGTGAAGCCAGTCAAGCCAATCAGGAGTGCCTTTGTTTGGCTCACTCATCGGAACGCAGATTTTCCTGCCGAGCGGTGTGTCCCGGTCTCTTTTCTCCGCACCCCACCCTTCCCCTGCGGCGTTGACTTTGCTGCGCCCCTCCTGCTCGGACTCCAGCAGGGTGACCTTGTAGCCCTTTGCCGCCAAGCAGGCGGACATGTGCACCCCAGCCGGGCCGCCCCCTACGATCGCGATGTGCTTCTCCTGCGGAAAACAGGTCTACACGAAAGAGCCTTCTTATATCTTCTCGTGCTTGCATGATTTCTAAAAGCCCCAAGCTTGCAATCCCGCAGTCAGAAGAAAATTACTTCGCTTCGAGCAATCCCCACCCTCCACACTCACGAGCTTACGACCGTTACAACAAATTCCTCCACATCCTAGAGACTTCGACTCCAAATTCCCATCGGCCCTTTTGGACATTAAGCAAAACCAGACTGGCGAGCTGCTCTAGCGGGATACTGGCGGGGTCCACTGACGAATGCTGGCAAAGGATCGGGATACTCGGCGGGATCCACTTGCGGGGATACTCGGCGGGATCCACTGAGCTACTCTGGGATACTCAGCGGGATACTCGGCGGGATCCACTGGCGGGCTGCTCTGGTAATATACTTGGCAGGATCCACTGGCGAGCCGCTCTGGCGAGATACTCGGCGGGATCCACTGGCGAGCAGCTCTGGCGGGATACTCGAGATCCACTGCCGAGCCGCTCTGGCGGGATACTCAGCGGGATCCACTGGCGAGCAGCTCTGGCGGGATACTCGAAATCCACTGGCGAGCCGCTCTGGCGGGATACTCGGCGGGATCCACTGGCGAGCCGCTCTGGCGGGATACTCGGCGGGACGGGATACTCGGCGGGACGGGATACTCGGCCGGTTCCACTGGCGAGCTGCTCTGGCGGGATAATGGGGGGGGAGCGTGGTGTAGAAGTATCGCAAACGCGGATTCCAACATAAAACCTAACAACCCCTTTCTGTCAGGTGGGGAGAAAGAGAGAACAAACAAAAAAACGGCACATGCCCCCATTTATGAGTCAAGCCATGTCCTTGTCAATCTCCAGGCATGATGACAGCAGTTTGGAGTTTGGGTTCGGAGTATTCTCCGGGACTGCCGGAAACAGCGCGTCCAAGATTGTCATGGACACTTCTGTCTCTCGCTACCTCTTTCCAAGAGGCAGGACACTTGAACCAATGGCTGTCACATCTAGCGTGCCCCGAGACCTTTGTGGCAAATCTCGGAGAAAGTAGTCAACCTGACCGGAGAGAAGCCTTGAACACACGAAAGTCTTGAGCTTGACTTTTTCTGCATGTGACGGTTTGTGTTGAAACACAGAGAACACAACTCAAATCAGCATGGCGATTTTGAACATCCCTGCGGCTGTCTGGAGGGTACCCGTTTTTGGCCCCACGTGTCCCACCATTGGGGCCCCTTTCATCATTTCGGTCTCTGTTTCAGCAAGGAGGCAATGCTGGAGGCGACGCAAACACAACCACCACTGACGCTGATAGTTGTTTTGTTTGTTTTGTTTTGTGGTTTTGGACGGGGTTGAAGGGAAACCAAAAGGAAAATCCTCTGCTGTGGCATGCAACTGGCCCCGGTATTTCACCAGGTTTGGTGCTGGCTTTGATGACCCCGGAAACCAACAACTAGGTTCTCCAGTAGAGAGGTTAGAATAAGGGTACCCTTTTTTCTGTAGTCTACTTTAGTGGGGGAACCCCCCCAACCAAAAAAAGAAACGGTAAAAGGGCACCTAGCTGGCAACATCGCATGGTCAAAGTTCCCTCCAGGTGGTTTCCAAGTGGTGAGTTAAAGGGAAACAAACCCCGTTTCTGCCCCAAAAACTGTCAAACCAATGACCCCTGTTGCATGGGCCCCGTGGCAACTCAACAGTGACTTCCTGGGCTCAGGGAGCCCCCGCCCTGCGCCAACTGCTTGTGGTGCTGCGACACCTCCTCGCAGTTTGTAAGAAAAACTCGGATGGGCGCACCGCCCTTGGCACAGGTTTTAACGCAGATCTGAAGTATCTGCCTGCCACTATGGTGAATCATACGGCATGGCTGTAAAACAATTTTACCCATTTCATGGAATTCTTGGAGTACATCTGTTGGAATGCAGGGACCCTCCAGGATTCCAGCTTGGAAAGCTCTTGCCGGGGGCTGGACACCTGTCCAGGAAATGTATCTAAGGCTTGCAAGAGCGGGCGCGGGACATGTGAAGGATCAAGGTGAGCTATGGTTTCCACCTGTGTCAACAGTAGGCACTTTCGTTTGCTGCAGTGTAAACCCTGCCAAAAAAGCCAAAGCCTACGGAGCGACACAAAAAAAGGAAAGCACGCGACGATCATTGTAAGTTCAATAGGCCATGAGGCAAGCATTGCACGTCTAACGATAAAGGCGCCGCTATCATTGCAAGTTCAACATGCCACGTCATGGCATTGCATAACCAGGCTTGCCGGGGCATGTGATTCCCCTGGCTAAGGAACCTGCCAAAAGTTGCCTGCTAGCTGTCCCCGTCTTCCCGCCTCCAGGAGTTCGGCCTGCAGTCGAGATGAGGGACGCAAGCCCGAGCAGAAAAGCGGCCCTTTCTTGAGCATCTGGTAGCAATCCCTATTTGGAAGGCCCCGCAGAGTTGAATATGGAATTTGGGGCCAGGGGCCCACAGCCAACCACTGGATAAGATGGACAGGATTGTTGAGGTCTGGAAAAACGAAACGATTCCCCACACCCTTTGGTTTTCTTGGGCCGTGGGCCATCGGGTTGCGAGGGGAATGGGAGGAACGTTGCTGCATCACCTTTTTGCACTCACTCCCTCCCTCCCTCCCTCACTGACTCACTGACTCGCTGACTCACTGACTCGCTGACTCGCTGACTCGCTGACTCACTGACTCACTGACTTGCTGACTCGCTGACTCACTCCCTCCCTCCCTCACTGACTGCCTCCCTCACTGACTGACTCACCGACTCGCTGACTCACTGACTCGCTGACTCATTGACTTGCTGACTCGCTGACTCTGCTGACTCGCTGACTCGCTGACTCACTGACTCACTGACTCGCTGACTCGCTGACTCGCTGACTCACTCCCTCCCTCCCTCACTGACTCCCTCCCTCACTGACTGACTCACTGACTCGCTGACTCACTGACTTGCTGACTCGCTGACTCACTGACTCGCTGACTCACTGACTTGCTGACTCACTGACTTGCTGACTCGCTCACTGACTCACTGACTCACTGACTCGCTGACTCGTTGACTCACTCCCTGACTGAAACTCCCTCCCTCACTGGCTGACTCACTGACTCGACTCGCTGACTCACTGACTTGCTGACTCGCTGACTCACTCCCTCCCTCCCTCCTCACTGACTCCCTCCCTCACTGACTGACTCACTGACTCGCTGACTCACTGACTTGCTGACTCGCTGACTCACTGACTCCCTCCATAAACTCACTGACTCACTGACTCGCTGACTCACTGACTTGCTGACTCACTGACTTGCTGACTCGCTGACTCTCTGACTCCCTGACTCACTGACTCGCTGACTCGCTGACTCACTCCCTCCCTCCCTCACTGACTCCCTCCCTCACTGACTGACTCACTGACTCACTGACTCGCTGACTCCTCGCTGACTCACCGACTCACTGGCTCGCTGACTCGCTGACTCACTCCCTCCCTCCCTCACTGACTCCCTCCATAAACTCACTGACTCACTGACTCGCTGACTCACTGACTTGCTGACTCACTGACTTGCTGACTCGCTGACTCTCTGACTCCCTGACTCACTGACTCGCTGACTCGCTGACTCACTCCCTCCCTCCCTCACTGACTCCCTCCCTCACTGACTGACTCACTGACTCACTGACTCGCTGACTCCTCGCTGACTCACTGACTCGCTGACTCGCTGACTCACTGCCTCCCTCCCTCCCTCCCTCCCTCCCTCACTGACTCACTGACTCACTGACTCGCTGACTCACTGACTGGCTGACTCACTGACTTTCTGGCTCGCTGACTCACTGACTCACTCACTGACTTGCTGACTCACTCCCTCCCTCCCTCACTGACTCCCTCCCTCACTGACTGACGCACCCCTTCGTGTTGGTATCCGTGGCCGGCTGACGCTTCTGCAGTGATCAAGCATGCGTGCGTGTATATATAGATGTTGGTTTGGGTGCACCCGCTCTGCCGGGTGCGAAGGGGAGACACGCTTGTAGCTTGATGCGCTGCGGAGTGCAGCGTTGCTTTCTGAGCACAGGGGTGCGGGCGGATGAAAGAGGGCGTGCTACATGCGACGCAGGGGCGAGCCATCTCGAAGTTTAGCAGCCACGACTGTTCCTTGAGCAGCGCGCTTGTTGTTTTGCGTACAGTTTCTGAGACTGACCAGTCAATGTGGAGGGCTTCCATCCATCTTATATTTGCCCGCCTTTGCAGGTCGACACGTCCCAGCTACTCAAGGCCAGGCTTTGAGGCTTGTGCTCCAGGTTTGACCTTGCTGCAAGTTTGCCCCCCCCCCCGCCCGAGACTGTTATAACGACCCTTCTCCCGCGGTTGGTTTCGTCTTGTTTCGCTGCAGTCCTAGTCGAGCTTGCAGATTTTGCGTGGCGCCCTCCCTCTCTATCAGACGTGACACGTGCCGCTCAAGTGCTTGTGCTTGTCCCAGGCTGGCACGTGAAGACTAGCAGGTACGTTGACACGTATAAACCGCGCCCTTGCCATGTTGTACTTCTGTTTTTTCACAGAAGCCCATGAAACAGCAAGTTTCAGCTAGGCAGAACAGTTGCGCAGTTACATGTGGCAGCGTGACGCAAGGCACTTGTTTGAAGCTTGTTGCGTCTTACTGGTATCGCATCATGGCTGCGCCTGAAGGGCCGCCTGCAGGGACAGCGGAGCTCGCAGGCAGGCAGACGCACACTGGCAGCAATGCGCTGGCTACGTTGGGCCGGCGCTCTTATGTGTCCATGCGTGGGCTGGAGGCTGTGCTCGCTGAATTGCAGCAGCTCCAGGAAATGCCATCCAGCACCTCTCGCAGGGCCATCATCAAGCGTGCCCGCGACGAGAATCTGGCACGACAGAGAACTGAGTTTGGAGAACTCATACAGGACATTGAAATCCCTGCTGGAAGGGAGATCATCAAAGTGCCTGTCATCCGTCCTGCGGCCATGCTGGCAGCCGCGACGCATCATTGCGAAGGATGGCGCGCTTTCTTCATTGAGAGACTGCAGGCCTGTCCTAGCACCTACGAGCAGCCCTGGCGGCTAGCTTTCTACGCCGATGAAGTGTCCCCGGGCAATCAGCTGAAGCACAGCAATGAGCGCAAAGTGCAGGTTATATATTGGAGCTTGCAAGAGCTCAGGCCGCACGCTCTCGGCACCGAAGCCTGTTGGTTTCTTCGGTCACACTTGTCAAGCTGGCTTTTGAAGTCCACAACGTTGGAGCAATGGCAGCAAAGAATGGTGCCAGAGGCACCCTTGTTTTCAAGAGCCTGCTTGATTGCTGCTTCGTCAGCCACGAGCACTCCCAATGTGGCAAACAATGCGCACGGAGGGCGAGTGTGCATGAAGACTCCCAATCGAAAATCGGAGGGCTCTTCGAAAAAAAGCTCCATGCAGCGCCGCCAGAAGACGCTCATGCCGCCAGCCTTGAGCACGGTTGTGGAGCGACACTAGTGAACTCTTTGAGCACTGATGCGAGCACGTGGCGGCTGCACACACACACAACAGTATCCAAAGAACAGTGGAGCTCTTGGAGGAGCAGCGTGCTGTGCTGAACCAAGGGCAGTTTGCTCGGTTGGAGCAGTCCCTGGGCTTCAACTATCGCCCAGCTGGTCTTCTGGCGCACCCGGCGTGGGGCGCGCAGTTTCTGGAGAAAACCATGTTTGACTGGATGCACGTGTACGTTGTGAGTGGCATAGCGAATGTGCAAACAGGTCTTATGGTGGGAGACCTCACTAGGCACGGCACTACTTTGCGACACCTGCAGGACTTTGTGTGCAGCTTCCAGTGGCCTGCGAGGCTCCGAGGAGCTGCGCCACGAAGTGCGTTGGAAAAGCGGGGCAGCGCCTACGAAGCGATCAAGTGCGCGAGCGAGCTTCTCAATCTCTTGGTGCTACTTCGTGCTTTTCTCCTGCTCTTTGTTTGCCCCACTGCA